AAAACATTACATAAATGAAAACATATTATTGGGATCTCAAGTGCTCGAACTAACGGAAATCATGTTCCCACTGTTGCTAGAACTTAGTACTACCATTGTTTTAAAAGTCTCCGAATACTACATAACTCTCAGAACTTACAGTAATCCGTACAACATCTATCAATTTCCGAAAAGCTTAATCAAGACACTTTTATCTTCGAGTTTGATAACCAGTAGCTGGAGAGGGTTTGCTTTTTGTTTATTTTGGACTCTTTCGAAAGCCATGCAAACGAAACACTGGCTGGATAAATTAAGATTGACAATGCTGCCATTGATCTAGGTTAAAGACAATACAACTGAATCGCACTATATCTTACTATAGCCCTTTTTCTCTGTTCAGTATATTGTCTTTTTGAAAAGTGTTCAGTGTAGCTACATCAATTGTCTCATAATTGCTTGCTATATTTCCACAAAGACAAAAAACGCTTGAATTGTTCAATGATGAAGTAGCCCCATATCTTGTCCATTCGGGCGATATGAGTTCTTTGGTTGGGTTATGACATAAACACTTGATGGGTGTTCATTTTATTGACTGACTTCAAATCATTCATACTTATGCTATCAATCATTGATGAAAGTAGGGAGGGGTTTAGGTCATGCATCATTACAGCTCCTTGTATATTACAAGTAGAATCTTTGAGTATTTGCCGATAGATTCACACATGCTGTTAGCTCTGAATCACGGTGTTTGTCGTCAGAATCCTCATCATTATGACTACTGCGTCGCTGCTCATTTTTTCCTCTCTTCTTCTCCCTTAGGTGACAATCCCCTTATTCTCGCTATCTTCTCTGTTCGGATCATTAATTTCCACCATCGCACGTCATTTCATCGATTTACCTAACTTACTGACTTGAAGGAGAACATCGACAACCACTAAGCATTAGTGTTAGGTCATAGTCGACATAGGCAAGTGTGTCCTGACATTCCTGACAGCTGCTCCTCTATCAATGAAACCTTAGTAAAGTCCATTGTTCGGAAAGGAGAAATTTAATTACTCTCAGTTATCTTAGCGAACTCGAAACGAAGAAATTCAACTATTTCTATTTAATTTAGTACCGTTTATGATTAGGTCCGATGAAAGCTAAAGCTTCTTCCTATGAGATTCAAATTCGTACTTCGAACTACCTTAACTACAAATTATTTGTTAACCAAATAAAAACCACCTTTTAAAAGAAGAAAAGAAAAAACACAACCAGGTGACTAATGCGCTTAAGAAAGGTAAATCCGCATTAAAATAAAGTCCCTTTGGTTTCCTTCAAATCGAGTTTCCTTATTAAAAATACGGCGTTCACAATCAATGTATTTCCAAGGCCAACCATTAGTTTGCCTTAGTGGTTATTATCACAGTTTGATTAGATTTAAATTTACTTTTTTGATTAAATTAGTCAATTTTAATTGATTAAGGCGTGTGTGGCAGTGGTCGGAGGCGCCCTGAAACACACACGTGGAATCGATCCCGGGGCCCATAGCCCACCAAGCCTTCCATCCCTCCTGAGTCGGCGAATTGGTACCAGATCTGGGAGGATAGTAGTACTGGTTTGATACAACTCTAGGCCACTGCGGGTCATTATAAAGGCCAGATATGCATTCAATCATCTGCAAACGATGCTTAATGAAGTCGAAGGCATGGTGCATCCCTCGAGGATTGATCAACGCCGAGAGCTTTATCCTTTGCCCTTTCATTGACTAATTTTAATTCAATCTTTTCTTTGTTTTCAAATAGAATTGTAATTACAAGCCATAATGCATCGTGAACTTCGCCAGCAGCAATTTGTTGTTCCTAACGTGCAGTTCTTGAACACTAGTACTGGTAGAGTTTTGGATAATGCCGAATAATGTGAGCCCTAGTGAAAGTTTTATTTGTACGGCAATTTGCGCGTGTTGCAATATTTTTCCCTTCTCAATTCCCAAGAAACTTGTGCTGAAGAGTTTCCGGGTCGTCATCAAAGGGAAGTCGTGAGCTCTTATCGATCTTATGGTGGAGGCTGCCACCACCACATACTAATAGGCATTTTCCAGCACTGATGCGAACCCTTGACTTAGCACATTCATTGCTGAGTTTACATCTGGTGGTAATGTCGGAGCTTTGACGGCTTCAGAGACCAAGTTGGATGTATGAACATCCTACTGTAGACCTCATTTCAACACTGACGACGGCAACGATTCCGGTGGACGGTTTATTTGCAAAGTGAGCAGTCGATGGAACTCTGATTGCTCTGATTAACTCTGATTGCTGTAGGAATAACTTGTGTGGCTTGGCATTCCACACTTAAAAAAGCTTCCGCCCGTAATGGAGCGGGAAAGGAAGGAAATGGAGATTTGCGAAAAAAAATAGGTAAAAGTCCAACAATTAAAAGGAGTGCATAAATATGGAGAAGGTTAACCTTACAGAAAGTGCTAATTTAAAAGTCTAATAAAACAATTTAGTCTTCCATTCGATTCATGGCGTTATTATACTATGGTGAATGGAAACTGAAATGAAGAGTGGCTGTAAGATTGACCTAACCCTCAACTAGATGACTCCCTAAGCATCAAATGGTCATTAGCTGACCAGTGGGGCTAGGTTTTCATCATTCTATTGGCCTTTCATGAGTTTTAAGCTCCATGATTTTCCTTATCATTTACTTCACAGAACTTCCTCATTGGAAAAGAAATATCGCAAATCTTACTAAGCGTGATACATTTAAAAATTATTGTTAGCGCATTATACTGTTGAAACTTAACTTCGTGGAGATAACCTTATCTATGGTGACACGAGTTTTTTTTCCGCCTCCTATAGAACGCTTCTGTAAAGGACGCTGGAGCACCGTCGTCTAACTAGCGAAAATGAGCCATGATTTTTGCGAACGAGTTAGCAACGAAAATCTGTGTAGCCAACATTTCCAGTAATCTTCGAATTTATTAATGAAACTTAAATAAATCTATGGCACAATAAATTTTTCCTTTTTAACCAATAGTAATTGAAACCACGTCCAATGTGCTTTTTCTGGTAAAAAAAAATCTCCACGAAATCTCTTTCAGTAGCTGGGAATAATCAATAATATACCAGAAAAGGAAACGAGGAATAAATAAACAAACGACTTGCTCAAGGCAAAGTTATGTTTGGCTTGCTGGCAGTAAACGGTGGTTTGTTGATTAGGTATTCCAAGTTAAACAAGTCCGTCCGTTTTTCTTTGGTTTGCGTTTCGGACTCTTCTCTTCTCTTGTTCATCTCTCTCTCCCAAATCTCTCGATGATTTGTGTTCACACAACCTCCATCCACTTGAAGCTACTGCCTCATCTTCAATAGCTTTCTCTGCAACAAGATGCAAAATTCAACAGCACGTAGTTAGAAGGATTATCTACAGATTGAAGCTGGTTCAGGGATGTTTGAGCATTCCGACTCCGGTGCTACTGAAGACTTTCTGATTGAACGAATTCCAATCGCTCTGCATGACAGATGCTCATTTACCTCGTTAAAATGATTATCAAGAGTTATACTATCAGATCATTCGTCGTTCATAGTTTAAGGACTGACTTAGGATGCTTTTCCTTTTGAGAAACGTATTTAAGCAAGAAGGTTTAACGTTAACCAGCACATCAACACACTGTATCGATGACTTCAAAAAACCGACTTCACTTTACTTCGGCACGATTAATCGGTATTTTCCTCGGTGATTAAGGTAACATGAGATTCTTACAAAAAATTTTATTCGGCTAACAGAACGACGCCTTCGCCTTCTTCAGAGCCTTATTGATCCCAGACAACGATCAACATCCGGTCGTTCTCGCGTTGTGGCTGTGTTGTTTCATCGAATTGAATCCACTGGAGGCAGCACTACTCGATCGAAGAATTTCACTCGATGATGCTTTTTTCAACACGACGGATACCGATCAATTGCCATCAATATCGATAAGAGATGAAGATCCCTATACTGAGGAAAGTCGCGCATGATCCCTTTTTGGTATACATCAGTTTCAAAGAAGACTAGAGAGCAGGCAAATAGTTGGTGGCTCTGAGCTCTGTAACTTGGTCGCATTTCCAGTCGCCCATTTTTGAGTACCTAGCCTCTAATGAGAGCATGATCCATGTCAGACAATATGCGGGGTAGAGTGATTGCGGTTCTCAGGAAGTGCACAACTATTGAGGCCATAGAATATAAGAACCTTGATAAGTTTTTTTCTCATTGCTAGGTTTTCAAAACGTTAGTCTTAAAAATATAAGTGACCCCTGAATATAAAGGCAGGAAATGACATGTTTTGGTGCAGCAGTGAAACGGAACTGAGATCCTGTACGGAAACCATGAGTGTAAAAATGCACTATACTATGCGTTGCTATATTGACTTCGTAAAATGGGTGTGGTCTGAAGTCCACTTTCCTACTTCGGCTAGCCATATCCAATCTAAAGAGATTATTTGGCTCAAGAGCTGTTTTCACTTACGCGGTTTCCTATCCTCTCCTTCATAACCAACTGCATCGATTAACATTCTCCCTCCGATGGTGACTGCGAGGATCATTCTCAGAGCATTGAAGATCCGTCAGTAGCCATTCATACCACTACGATACTTTCATTAAAGAATTATGGCTTGCGCTAGTATAAGCTATTCAACCTTAGCATGCCACGGACAGTAAGTGTTTCCTGAGGTTGTTGTTCGTTTTTTTTTGAAAGAGAGAGACGACCGTGGAAAGGTTACATGCAAGGATGGCTTCTCAACCAGTAAAACAATCTAAGTTTTTTTTTTATTAAACTAAAACACAATGGAAACAATAAAGATAGCACATTATCTGAATTAGGAATGCCAACAGTAATGTCTAAGGCGGGCTTTGCCGAGATTGGCAGCGCCACCTTCCAGCAAGGCATCGCACATAGTTTCCTTATTCCATCTAGCACATCAAAGCTGATGTCTATTCGTCTGGCCAACAACTGCATCGCAGTTTGAAGAGACATAATCGCCCAGTTGTCATATTAATATGTGAAAAATGTCAATTGCTATTTCTCAAGCGGTTCTGCAACATCGCGCCTCATTACAATTTGGGGTGCCTGGTACTAATATAGCATTCAAATTCAAGAATTATAGGGTTACCGGAAACATGATCAGCGGGTGAGTCAAGTGATTTCTACTTGTGAGTATTCCTAGGAATCTTATGCATGTCAATGTCACCTAACCCCCTCGTAATTTCACCTGTGTTGCTTGTGTCGTCAACAACATTTACAAGCTTCACTGTAAAACGTATTTGCATGCTTGAATACTTGCATTGTCACAGCACAATCCATATTCATCGCGTTTCATTACCCATGGTGATGTCCCGTTTCTAGCATGGTGATATCTACAAGTGTCATTTTTCCGATCGCTCACAACTCCCAAGACAGCTGATTGACGTAACCAAAGTTTTTTGCCCCTCGTGTAGACGATCGTCTCTAGGAACTCTTGCGTCCTCTTCAAGTCCGCACCACCTCTCTTCTTTTCAATCCGACGTCAGCTCTTCACACTACATGACCGAACCGTCCACATTCTTCTTTAGCTCTGTTTTAACTTGACTCCCGAAAATGAGATAATGGTTGAAAGTTCATAATGTGTACATAATTCGGCGTGGCGTAGCATGTAACTGTTATATTTTATTTATAACCATAAAACATGCATGATTGCACATGATGGAAGGGAGCTTAACGGTTCATTAAATGCGCCTACTTTTCAGCGCTAGCCAGCAACATAAAAAACGCCATGCTCCACTACGAAAAACAGATGCGATGGGTCACGCAGAACGACGGAATTATGTGATACTGGATGAGGTGTGGCGATCTGGAGGCAGTGAATGTTTCGAGGTGTTCATTTGAAACATATCACCTAGGAATCATTAGGAATGTCGCAGCGCAGCATCGCTTCTCATGCGTGTGAGCAGCCATGGAAGAAATCTATGTCTGCATTCCGACAGCTGGTTCCGATAAAAATTTACCTGATAGAGTCAGAAAACTGACAAACGCACTAAGTAGGTAGGATGCCAGACAACGTCTAACTCCAGAGAAGTACTTTTACATAGCAGTGGGTGATTGGAAAAGATTCAACAGGTAAAACGATGATATTGAAAGATGTGTTAAGGAGCATAAGTTTCTACCTTAACCTTCTACCTGAGTAATTCTCTTTGTAAATGTTCATGGTGTTGAAAAAGAGAAAGACTATTTTCTTATAACGTTGTTGCTCAATTAATTTAATTAATTACCAGTTGATTACTTAATTAATTTAATTCGCTCAATGGCTCTGCTAACAAAAAACGTTGTCTTCTTGGTTAGATTATTCCGCCCGGAGGAATTGGCCCCGATGGTGAGCCGATGTTTCTCCGGTTAAATATCGGCGGGCAACAGTACATGCTTTTGGTAGACGCTCTTCTTCGAGCTGAACCTTCTGGATTTCTAGCGAAATTCGTGCAACTGACACATACAGCCCGATTAAAGGTCAGAAAATATTCGATTAATTTTGCAAATGGCATAGGTTTTTTGTAATCCTCTTCTATAACAGGTTGCCGACGCCTATCTACCAACAGAGGGCTCATACTTCTTCCAGCGATCACCGATAGCCTTCGATGCGATATTTCAGTATTATGCGACAGGAGTAATTCATCGTCCATCAGAGGTTTGATAATAAGCAGTTGCAGAACTGTTCATGTACAAAGGACTCTATAATTATATTAAGAATTTGTGCAAGACTATAGTAATAACAACCCATAGAGGTTTGGTATCACTGGGGAACGACTGACCATGTGTATTTGGTTACATACTATACTACGGTTAGTACTACCAAGATCTCTTCTTCGCTTCTTTTTCGCTTTAGCATTTTGATTTAAGTCGAAACATTAATAATAATAATACTAATAATAATAATAACAATAATAATAATAATAATGAGCGATTATTAATTGCAAGAAGAAGCAGAAGACCATAGAATAAAAGCTGTTCAAGCTGCCCAAATAAACGTAGGTTTTTTCAGGTCAGGATAGAAAAATGCAAATGTCCAAAGCAGCTCATAGTGTGCCAACTTTATCAGAACGATTAGTTGTTAACAGCTGATCTAGTTTTCGTTGCAGTAACTGCCACGACCGACTTTCTATTAACCTCGGCATTGATCAAGTGATTTTCTTCGTATTTTTGTTGAGCAAACGCGAGGTGTTACTATTCTTTGTTCACGATTAAGCTGACGTTTCGGCGGATTTCGCCTTCTTCAGAGCCTGGAAAGGTCAAGTTGATAGCAATCCACTCGGCCAGACGCCTCCATAACCAAACAAAGAAACTCCAAACCAAGATTTCAATCACTTTGAACACAGCTTTGCACACTCACCGCTTTCTATGAGGTTCTATCATGAGTTTCATAGAAAACCTCATAGAAAGCGGTGAGTGTGCAAAGCTGTGTTCAAAGTGATTGAAATCTTGGTTTGGAGTTTCTTTGTTTGGTTATGGAGGCGTCTGGCCGAGTGGATTGCTATCAACTTGACCTTTCCAGGCTCTGAAGAAGGCGAAATCCGCCGAAACGTCAGCTTAATCGTGAACAAAGAATAGTAACACCTCGCGTTTGCTCAACAAAAATACGAAGAAAATCACTAGTTTCCGTTATTTCTAGCCTTGTCTATTCATTCTACTTCTCATCTTAGCCATCATTTATGCTAAGGAGTTCATACCTCGTTATCAAACATGTAAACAATTAGGATAATGAACGCCCATAATACGCCCAAATCCTTATTTCTCTGTTCAGTACATCTTAAATGGCTAAGGTATAATTGTAGGTTTTACTTCTTGTCGTAAACTATACTATGAAATCCAGTAGCGCCAGATCTAAGCTTGCTGAGTCAAGCGTCTTTGGGACACCTCTGTGATCGGTTGACTAATCACCCGATAACTGACATATCTTTAATAGGAGACAAAATATAGGTATGCCCGGCAGCATTTCTCAGTGAACTTGATTTTTGGCTTATCTCTTACCAACACGTCGGTTCGTGTTGTGCCGACATCGTTCCACAAAAGAAAGAAGAAGAAAAAGAAGAGGAAAAGGTGACAGATTATGTTTGACACGTCTTTCAAGAAAAAAATGTTTTCCTTTAGGTAGATGATACAATGTTCGAAAAATTGATGTTTGGTAAAGTCCGGCGACGAATGTGGACATTTCTTGAACGACCGGGTTCGTCAATGCAAGCCAAAGCATTCGAACTGTCTTCCACACTTTTTGTTGCCATTTCCGTCATGGGCCTCAGTTTCGGCACTATTCCAGATTTCCAGGTGGCAGCTAACTTTAAAAATACTTGAAAACAGTAAAAGAAGCAACTCTCATAAATGGATTACGAGGATAAAGTTTTCGACGTTAATCAACTTTTGAGGGTTGAGCCATGTATTCGAATTCATTAAGCATTATTAGAGTTTAATGAATGCATAACTGGCTTACACAATGACTTATGTAGCCTACTGATGTACGAAGTCAGTGGTGCTATACTCTCAACTGGTCGGGTACCAATTTCCCTGACCATGGAAAAGTGGAAAATGTCGTGAATCCCTTGGGCGGTATCGAACCAACGACCACGTGTGAATTGTAGGGAAACCTCCAACATCTGCGCTACTCGCGCATATCGCTTGAATGACTGCATAGATTTACAACTTGTGTCGGTGGAATAAAATTTACTGCCCATTTGGTAGAGGTGAAAAAATGCCCCGAATTCATAAGATCATGGTAGGAATTTCTCAATAGTAGTGAAATATTTAAAACTTCAAAGAAAAATAATTTAAGGATCTTAGTGAAATGAGCCAATAACTTTATGAGAACTACAGCTGCTTATCTTCATGGATATAAAGAATAAGCACTTGATAGGATTATTTTCCGTAAGCTAACGGGATACGGAAATAGTCGATTTCTAGTCCGAAATGTTATCGATTTCACTTAATGGGCTACAATATAAACATATCTGAAGATGGAGATGACAGTATGCTGAAGCACTATTACTTAGAAATCTTTTCTGAGAAATTACGGTCCATTGGAGACTGGTCTTTTTCTAATTGGAGTTGACTGGCTATAATCGTAGGAGCTTTTTGAAATTGTTATTAACAATTTATGAATAGTAATGTCGTTGTGGTCCTTTTAGCCTAACGGATTTTTAGAACCACATTTAATCACTCACAAGTACGATCAAAAATACAAAAAAGGAAATTCCATACCAATATTTTGAAATGAATCTCGGAAGATATTAAGCAAGCGATTGCGACGGGTGTAGTGTGCCAGAGTTGCTCCGCAATACACACGTGTTCGTTGGTTCGACCTAGCATCCAGTGCTCATCGAGCTTTCCATCTCACCGGGGTGGGCACATTGATATTAGATGTATCAAAAAAAACACTGATTTGATATTAACCTTTTTATTTACTGCCTATTCTTTTTAACGGCAGGGTATGTTGCGAAATGTAACTTCTAATGCTGAGATGATCGCATTACTCCCCGGAAAGGACAACAGCGCGTTCGTTCCCCACCGCAAACAGCTGCGGTCCGGAGTTTTGCAAATATCTCAGCATTATAGAAACTGATTTAATACCTTATTTCATAAACAAAGTAACATGAGGTTACTACTAAACACTTAACGTCTTCATTTTCATCAGAGTCGGATTGATTCGAGTGGACGGTCCACAGTTGTCCACAATCTCTATAGGGTGCCTTCGTCCTCGGTGTCAAGTCGGATCTTTTAGAGTGGAACTCGAGGGAGGCAACCTCACCAAGCATCGATCTTCTAGGCAGGATGGCTGTTGATGATAATAGCTGCCCGCTGATACTAATTTGTGACTAATAACTAACCCTTCCAACGGTTTACAACCTCATTGTGGTGTTCGTGGATGTCGGACCGCGATGTACAGTGGAGGGATTCGTCACCCCGGCAGGGTCTCCCAAGCTGAGAAGGAGTCAGGCGTTTCCATCAGGAAGCCTAGCTAAGAGTAAACCAATACCACGATTCACCACCGTCTTGGCATCAAAGTCGCATGGTGGTCCACAATTTCCATCATCTACAGGGACTGCCACTGTGGTGGTGAAGACCTGGGGCACTTTGGTCATGCTGACCTCGGGACTCCAGGGAACTATAATGGCTTAACCAGCAAATCTCCGAAAAGTGGAGATTATGCTGGGGCCTGCACAACCATTGAGGACGGGTCATTCAAGCACCAGGTATCAAGTAATAACTAATAGGGGCGCATGTAGCGCAGTGCTCAGAAGCGCCCTGCAATACACGTGACATCGATCCCCGCTTCCCAGGTTCACCAAGTCTTCCATCCCTTCGGCGTTAGCAAATTGGTACCAGACTGGTCTGCAAGGATAGCAACTCGATAAATTGGTTAGCGAGAGCGAGTCATTGTATAAGTCAGATATGCATTTGATCACCTCTAAGATTTTTGATGAAGTCGAATGCACGGTGCACCCTTCAGTGATTGATCAACGCCAAGAGCTTCTATCCTTTATCCTCTTAATAACTAATAATTGATTTGGTAAATTGGTAAGCAATAGCAAGCCATTTCATAGACCCGTATTCAATCATTGCTGTTGATGCTTGAGGAAGTGGAATGCATGCCACATCCATCAGGGCTTGGTTAATGACAGAGGATTTATCCTTTTAGCTTTATTATGCCCAGTGAACCATTCACCGTTCGCTGTTCTCTACGATTCGTGTAAATTCAAAAGATTTAATTTTAATTATACGTAATGTACTCTGTTTGACACTTTTTTAAAATTATACACCGTCATCACATCTACTGTACGAATCTCCCACCACATCCTCACCACTTCTTGCATTCGATTCGTTTTTCTCGCACTCATCGTCCACGAAGGTCTTCGAACCATTTTGCGTGTTGTTTCAGCTGCCACTTAAGAATTTCGCCTTAATTATAAATGTCGTAGAATGTTGGTTGGGTGAGATTTCCGTGTGATCTTGGAGATAGCCCAATTAAGGCGTTCCCACGCCAGTTGGAGTAAGGTGCTAGGGAGAGCTTCGAAGCAGCACCTTGCTTTCTGTATTTCAGTGTTCGATATCACAGTAACGAAATAGTTGTACTTGATTAAAACGAAATCGTTTTCAGAAAACTTTATGATCAGTAAATAAAGAGCTCGATGTGATTCTCGTTTAGGTAACGCATTACATGCCTCCGCATAATGAAACGATAGTTCTTCCGAATGGCACGGTTACGGTGGTGGAAAAGGTGGAAGAGATGAGAGTCGAGCATCCGGTGTTTGTCTTCACTGAACGAATTTGCATTGCATTCTTCACTGTCGAGTACTCTCTACGGTTATTTGCAGCACCGCGAAAGCTACGTTTCGCGCTTAAACCGTTGAATCTTGTTGATTTGCTTGCTATCGTGCCTTTCTACCTCGAACTATTGCTCACACTATGTGGCGTTGATGACAAAAAACTACGAGATTTACGATGGGCATTTCTTGTAGTAAGGATATTGAGAGTATTACGAGTGATTCGAATCATTAAACTCGGTCGATTCTCGTCCGGATTGCAAACGTTTGGTATGACATTACAACGATCACAAAAGCAACTGCAAATGATGACTATAGTATTACTGACGGGTGTCGTATTCTTCTCAACAATGATATACTTCCTCGAAAAGGACGAAGATGGTACGCCATTCACCAGCATACCAGCTGCATATTGGTGGTGCATCGTGACCATGACCACAGTAGGATATGGAGACGCAGTTCCGGCCACAACCAGTGAGTTTCAACACCCGCTTTTACTTATAAAACCTTCTTAAAAAGTTCGAACATAAGGAGTAAACACTATGAAACCACTTTTTACTCAGTTGACATCATTGTATGGTTCGGTTAACTGAATTCCATTCTTAAAATACGACGCGGGAGACTACCAAGCAATCTGTTGAGTGTTGCTAAGTGTTCAAAACTCGGCTCTCATTTCCAACAAAAATCAACCTTACATAGGCATGCGATTCTAGATTTCGACTTACTCACTTTCTACAGATAATATTTTTTGGAAACTCTTCAAAACTTAAAGAATGGCTACCACCAGAATTCATTTTATTAAAGGAATTTCTAATAAATTTCTTTCAATGACGAGAAAGCCAAGGGATATAGGGTTCCATATGATTTATTTCGCGGCATTGCTAAGAAGAAATGATTGATTACCTATCCACTAATCTCAATTAAACAGAGACTTCTATGAGGACTATAATATTACCCGAGAGTGGCAGTGGTCTGTGTAAGTGTCATCCGCCAGCTAGTCAAACTTATTCTCACCTTATGAAATTTAAGGATCGCTTCATAGATCACATTGATTTACGAGTTTTGTTGAACACTATATTGTGCGGTAAATCAACACATACAACGCTCAATAAAGCCTGTCGACAAGTATTCCAGTTCTATAAGTCGTAACAAAAAAGTCGCATCAACAAAAATCTTTTGAGACGTTTCAGTGGGAAAGATTATCGCATCGGCAGCAATCATGTGTGGAGTGTTGGTGTTAGCGTTACCGATTACGATCATCGTGGATAACTTCATTAAAGTAGCACAAGACGAGCAACAAGCCGAACAGGCAAAGCACGACCACCACCGGCATGAGCTCGTTCTTCAGTCGATGCTTCACGGTGATGAAGACTGAACTCAACATTAACCGCCTCTCAAAGCCCTCATTGTATTTCATTTTCTTCATTTTTTTTGTATTCTGTAATGGTTCTGTCTAGTTCACTATGATGAATACGTGTATACATCAGTTGAAAACGAAGTGCGTTTTCTTCTCTTTATTTAATAACTACAGTGGAACAGACAAAATATGTATTATGTGAGTTCAGCATTCGATTCACTTCTCTTCGAGTTGGAAACGTTTTAGCACTCCTAGCAGTTCAATCTTCGCTAGTGCTATCATGAATTGTGAATATCATAGATAACATATCACTAATGGAATTCATGGAACTTCTAGTTTCTTTCCTACAAGATTCCGGTCCACGATTTTCGGGATGTTGTTGTTTTTTTTCCATTTATTCTTTTGGAATTTACAACACCAACAGCTAGCTCATTCGGTTACCTTGTGATTTACATTTTCGAATACAGATATATAATAAAAACCTGCAAATGGTTGAATAAACTATCTATAAAGGTTAAAATAAAAGGATAAAGCTCTCGGCGTTGATCAATTCCTGAGGGATGCGCCATGCATTCGACTTCATTAAGCACCGTTAGAGGTGAATGAATTCATATCTGGCCTTTGCAATGACTCGCGGTGGCCCACCGATGTATCGAACCAGTGCTGATATTCTAACAGACAAGTCTGCTACCAATTTGCCGACCCAGAGGGATGGAAGGCTTAATGAGCCACGGTGCGAGGATTGATCCCACATGCGTATCACAGCGCGCCTTCTATCACTGCGCAACACGCTCAACTAAATTTTCTATACAATGTATATTTACTGCCGGAAAACAAATCTGGGAGATCCACGTCATCGAATCACACCAAACATCTACTGCTCTGATTACCTTATTAAGTCATCAAAAGTAAAAAAGAAGGCTAAGTAATCAGATATTCAAAAGATTGACTTTTAATGAACCTCAACGTAAATGCACCATTCGTACCTATTCTTATTACTTTAATTTTTGTATTTTTGTTTTATTATTCTTATTAGCCTGATATTTGAGCATTTTACTGCCATAATTTTTATAATTTTTATTCTTTAATTCAAGTATTATTCCTATAATTTAGTATAACCTAATACAATGTATTTTTATAACCTTTGTATTTATGTACTATTTATAGTCTTCCTATCCAAAAAATAAACAGAAAAAGACTTTGAGGAATGCGACATCTGGCATATCGGCTCCTGAGAATCAGAGAAGCAAAAATGTAACGACTTCGTTCCAACTCATAATGAGTAGTTCGCAAGGAAAAAATCTCATAAAACTCAATCAAATAATCGTTTGCTGGCGAATGTCGAACGTGGTAGAGATTACAAACCAGACCTGGTAGTCTTTCCTTCATTAACTGAATCTAATGCGAAGGATTCTGCATGAGATGCATACTTTTAAGAGTACCAATCCTCTTCATCATCACCTTGCCAACATCGTCTTCATTGATAGCGTAATTATTGCTTGTGATTCCTTCAACGTGTTTTAATGTCAGTCGTTGACTTACCTGAGAGCGACAGATGGAGTTTGACAGTTCCGCTTTCGCCATAGACGAGTACCGTTGCGTATCGATCAGCTTGGATGATTTCCGTTGGTGGATGGTTGACGTTTATTAAGAATGTTTGCCCAGAAACGTTGATGATGTTTTGCAGAATAGTCTGAACGAATAGAGATGTGTCTGCCGGGGTTTCATAGTCAATACCTATTGGTGTAACCAAATACATTCCTACAGTACCTGCATCACCTAAAGAACACGGATATCCTCAACAAGAAAGAGATTCAAAAACGATTAAGAATGCATCTATTCAAATGTCCTTAAAAAATCTCCACCTATATGGATATTTTTCGGGTACTAAGACAACTTCGCTCATGGGGAGCCGCTTCGTAGATGCACTCATCTAACTCGATCACTATTAGCAACGGAAACAGTGGTCATTCATTGTCAAAAAGCGGGTTAAATGACAGAACATGGTAAATAGTAAGCGCGAAAAAGATGACTTTTAAACGAAGACAGTTTCCAACTAAATGAATACTCAACTTTAAAGAAATTGAAACGCCCACATCTATTAAAACAAACAGCCATACAATTTAGTGAAACCTGATGAGTTTCGGTCTCAGCAAGATTATAAAGAACTAAGTGATTGAATCAATTTTAGTTAGAAAGGAGCTGATGAAATTCGGTCCTAAAGAGATCTTTTCATAGGGTTCTACAAATCAGCACGAAAAAACACTAACCTTATAGTACTCATGGTTATCCTCTTTAATTTTCGCGACAGATAAGGAGGAAACGAAATCATCCGTTCCACCGTCATGCCATTTTCCGAAGGAAATCTGAATGTCAGAGAAATCCAGACAGAAACAGTAGTTGTAACGAATGGACAAAGACGAAATGGTTATTTTTCAAACTCGTTTTAGAATAAATGGCCTTCAAACGGCATTAATAATCTAACTGTAAAAGTATCTTTACCTCAGAATCTTTGGCAGGTGTGACAAGCGCAGGTAAACTCATGTTCGTGGACTCCTTTTCAACTGAAATAACTGGATTGCTCAGTTTCATAAATACCAGTTAAGTAATCTAATCTATAGAGGAAGAAAAAATGTCAGTACTGCGCTTAATTTAAAGTTGTTCCAGGTCGCCTTCATAGATAAGCACCTTCATTTTGAACTCCAAAAATTTCACTATCAGCACTATCAGAAGAAGTAGTTTTTCTAATAAAACCACGTGGAAAGTGGTAATGTGCACATACTAATAAGTGGTCGAGAAATCCAAGTTTTCAACCTTCAACTGGGATTTTTACATTTCAGCTCATATTAAAGTTTGTAAAGGAAAGTAAAAGCTATCAGAATCTATATATTTCCTTTCTCAGCAAGATATAAATCTATCTTTTCCCATCATGATAAAATCACGGGGTCACAAAAATGAGCCCATGAATTCTTTGAAAGCATTTTCGACTGATGATGGGCCAACGAAGTGTTCTTCTAGCATGTTGTTGTCGAGCTACTCGGAAAAATGATAGCCACTCAGTAATGGATCCGCTTACTCTGTTAGATGAGGTGCAATTTCATCTACCGTATCTCAAGCCTTTCAAATTTTTGCATGCATAGTTGGAAGCTGTTAGCTTTGTCATGGAAAAACAACCATGATGTTAAATTTTTTCCTAGAAAAAGAAATATTTTATCCGACGAACCTTGAATCTGTTCTTTTACAAAAACGCCACTTTCTTCTGATGGGAAGTGTCGATCGAGAAGAATTGCAGGTAATACCGCCACTATATATTTTCTTCCTGGCTTAAAGTCAGTAAAGGTGTAGGAATCCTCTTTAATTGGAATTGAACACACGGTCTTCCATGAATATATCGACTCGACCTGGATAAAAAAGGGTAAAACTCTCGGCGTTGATCAATCGCTGAGGGATGCGCCATGCATTCGATTTCATTAAGAATCGTTGGAGGTGATTGAATACAGATCTGGCCTTTACAATAACTGGCGGGGGCCTACCCATGTATCGATCCAGTCTTGCTATCCTCCCAGAGAAGTCTGGTACCAATTTGCTGATCCCGGAAGAATGGAAGGCTTGGTAAACCTGAGGCACGAGGATCGATCCCATGTATTGCATGGCATCTCAGACCACTGTGTCACACACACCCTACACATCGATTCGACCTGAGGTTAAAATATTTTATAAAATCTAGTTTTCTTGTTAACTAATCATTTTTTAGCGTATATTTTATTGCACGGCACAGTAGTTAGAGGTGTCCTGCAGTACACCCATGGTCGTTGGTTCGATCCCACGCTACGATCTCACCAAACCTTCCATCCTTCTGAGCTCAAAAAATTAAAACTAGATTTGTCTGGGAAGATAGCAGTACTGGCTCGATACATCGGTAGGTCACCGCGAGTCATTGTAAAGGCCAAACATGCATTCAATGGCCTCTAACGATGTTTAAAGAAGTCGAATACATAGTGCATTCCTCAGCGACTGATCGGCATCAGAGTTTTACGCTTTTACCATGTTGTAAAAAAAATTAAAAGTAACTAGAAGCGAGCGGAAGTAAATTAGGTGTGTGTTACGTTATAAAAGTACTTATGATAATCTTATTAGAGGATGATAGAAGATCTATTCCTCTCTCTTCCGATCGAAGAGTAATGTTAATGCCTAGTCCACATGATTTTATACACTTCATGGCAAATTTTACTTGGGATAAAAAAACCTCTTTAATCTCGACAAGGTAGGTATCCTTCATAAGCACAGGCTTTGTCAGTACGGTAGTAGCGTCTGATGACGATATCGCAATAAATTTCTCTTCAGCCTGTGATATCACCTCTGCAATGAAAATGATTAAATGACTACTGCCAACACTTCCAATGAAGAAGAGCGATAAAAAAGTAATGGCATTAGGTAATAGTAATGCTTTAGTGGTAATGGTAATTTTAATGATGCTGAGATATTTGCAAAACTCCGGACCGCAGGTGTTTGCGATGGGGAACGAACGCGCTATTGTCCTTTCCGGGGAGTAACACGTTCACCACCACACCATGCGGGTCCTTAGTTTCGCCTGTCTCTCAGCTAGTTCTATTGATCTTTTGCCATCAGCAATCACCAATCAGAGTAGGCAGTAAATAATAAGTTAAAATTGTGATTATAACTGTAGCCTCACCTTAATTGAGTTCGCTGCCGATTTGGGCTCCTCAGATTAACCCCATTGACGGGTGATTGCTGATGGCAAAAGATCAATAAAACTAGCTGAAAGGCAGGCGAAACGAAGGACCAGCATGGTGTGGTGGTGAACGCGTTACTCCCCGGAAAGGACAATAGCGCGTTTGTTCCCTACCGCATACACCTGCATTCCGGAGTTTTGCAAATATCTCAGCATCATTAAAGTTATATTTCGCAATATATACCCTGCCGTTAAAAAGAGTAGGCAGTGAACAGTAAGTTAAAATTGGTAATGGTAATGTTTGAAAACTGTTTTGCAATTTGTTACGCGTAAGCTAACGTAATACCGACTGCGGCGGGGCGGACCGTCCGTTGAAATAGTCATATAAACAACAACCGTCGTGTATAAAAAAGCACTGCCGCTTGAGCGTCCCTCATTCCTGTGGTGTTGAACTGACGAGGAGATCTGTCTCGGAGCGATTACAAAGACTCCACGTCGAGAAGAAGAACAACTATGGACCACTGACTCGACTCGGATCATCGGCTCTGATAAGGACGAAGGAGTCGAAACATTACCCGAAAAAAGTAATTTTTCAACATCCTGTAAGCTCAACAATTTATACACATAATGGTATCAGATAGGGCGCGTGTGATGCAGTGATTGGAGGCGCCACTGCGACACACGTGGAATCGATCCCGGCGCCCACGGTCCATCAAGCCTTCCATTCCTCCGGGCGCAGCAGAATGGTACCGGACTTGTCTGGGAGGATACCGGCACTGGCTCGATACATCGGCAGGCCACCGCGAGCCCTTGTAAAGGCCAATTATGCATTCACCTCCAACTATATTTAATTAAGTCGAATGCATGGGGCATCCCTCAGGGAATGATCAATACCGAGAGCTTTATCGTTTTAATGGTATTAGATGCATCAGTGCTCCTAATGCAACCCATTTCGTGCTAGCTTTCCACCACAAAATGTGGAAGATTTTAGCGTTAAATTTAACGCGAACCAAAAATTTCTATGCAGTCGATATAGGAAACAAAACTAAATTCAAAGGACGAGCTCCCATTCTCTACTGCTTGAGAAGGTGACTGAAAATTATCTGATAAATGGTCTAGAGTCCCATCTAACAAACAAGACGCATGTTTCGTTCGTGAAATCCCAGTATATAATACGTAAGTGTAGGAATCCTTTACACTGGAAGAGCAAGACAAAATGCCCTTCTACTAAAATTGCTGGAACGCAAAGTGTCTCAGACGAAAGGAGATGCACTTTTTAGGTCTACCGAACCAGCGATAAAGATGAATGAACCCTTTAGTGATTCTGGCCTATGTCATCAGGATTAGTAAATTACAAGCGCTGTATGTGAATTGCATGAATAAGTCAGAAATTGTAATGTAATTTTAAAAATAGGGAATAGATCTGTAAGGAATCTAAATTGATTTCCTAACTAACCCGAGGTTAAATCTAGGTTTGATGGGAGACTTTTGCGCTCCATGCCACCTTCGTCGTTCATACGTAAGCGAAAGTGACAACCAGAAGTGCCAACGCTCGTTTCTAGAGGAAAAAAACTAGCTGCTTTTTTATGAACATCATAATTATACCATGAAAGTGCTTTAGTTGTTTTACTCATCAGAGTAACACGACTACGGCTACTACTTTTATAAACAGCAGCCAAATTTAGTCTCGTCAGTCTAGAGAATTCAGTTCAAACGTAAAGCATTCAAATGACAAGGGAAATGAATCGAAGCGTAACCTAATGTACAGGATACGTCCGTTGACTCCACAACAAAAGACCACGTCTTCATTTCTTTGTTATCGTTGTTCAGGATGAAGTAGTCGAAGATACAGCATTTTCTATCGTCCATTAGAGGTTTCCATAAAAGTGCACACGACTTGTCGACAACTGCCATACTCTGATCATCAGATGCTGCTGTAATAGAAAATCTTCTATTGCTATACTGCAAAAAGAACGAATATATCCAGAAATCCAATGACACTGCCAGTCAACGAACGTCTCATGACGAGCGACGGGACAATAGCAGTGTTACCTCGGACTGCATTACTGAATATCTGACTGCACAAACCGCAAGGTGAGACGTTCGCTTCACTGATGGGCAGTTCGGCGCAGACTTCATTCTGTGAGCTCAAGTTTTTGTTCTTCTGAAATATATTTAACTACCATAAATAATTCGATGTAAACAGAAACCAAGCAAACAACATATTTTTTAAATTTTTCAACTTATATGAGGTTGTAATAAAATTTTTGTCCGGCTATTTTTGCAGCAACCGCGTGCTAGCTGAACATTCTCAGAAGTACAACCACAATGATGCTGAGATATTTGGGAAACTCAAACCCCAGGCCGGATTCAAACACGCGATTACCCTTTTACACGTGTTACCTAGCTCATCACTGGAGGTCTCAATCTGCCTTTCTCTCAGCCAGTTTCTGGGATCAGCAATTACCAGTAAACGGGAACGATGTAGAGAACATAAATCGGCATTGAAGCCAGTTAAGCTGAAACCATAGTCGGAACCATCGTATATAATTTTTTGGTTATTTTAAGAAATATATTAATCATTAACGATAAGATTAAGGGAAATCCAGTTCAGAAGAGTACTAAATAAACAGTACTTTCAAAAGTATCACTTCACCCAGTTGGGAGCTACTGAGACCTAACGAGATCGATAGTTTATCTCTAAATTGCAGTGCCAGCCTTTCAAGTAATATTGCTAATGATAAAGCACTTCAGTCTTCAGTTTTCAGTCTTAGTAAAACCATGCTAAAAGATTAAACCAAAAGTGGGATTACCGGCAAATAGGTGATCACGGAACCAAGCACACCTAGTTCTATAATTCTCTCGTTGTATATATGGCATCAAAAAAAAATTGCATTAGAACACTTCACAGCAACACAACAAAACCAACAATATATCTCAACCACTCTGCTAGATAACCCTGCAACTGTGAAGATTTCTTTTGTGGATGTCAAAGAAAGTCACCTGCTTCGAATCTGCTGTTGTCGAGAGACTCGAATGGGCGCCAGAAATCTCTAGTGGTTCTCGTCGCGTGCCAGAGTTATCCAGTTGCTTCTTCTTGTTCTGCTTTAAAAGCAGTAAAGTATTCACCTTATAATAACACTGAATAAGTATAGTGTACCTCGATCAATTTTCGAGCCTTCTTCCATGCCCAGCTTACATTAGGAGCATTCGGAACGGCGACATTTAATCTAGCATTTTCGTCAGATTTATCTTCGCCCACTTTCCACTCTGATTGGAAAGTAAGTATTTCGAAAGAACAAATCCAGTACTATTAGAATAAATATAATACGCTACGGTTGAAATGAATTAAAAACCGAAATTTGAAGAAGTATGCATACCTAAAGTGGTAGAACTGGAAACAGTATCATCGTCGTAAGCTCTTGCTTCCGAGCTGGGAACAACAAGCTCCACTACACTTGTGCTCTTATCATCTCTCTTGTGTAGCACTGTAGTAGCTGTGGTAAATGATTGTGCCGGTGGAAGAAAAACGACATCGCTTCTTGTTACAGCAATCAACTTGGGTTTCTTCGTTTCCTGCTTACTATTTAGAGTACTATCAACGGATCTTGACTCCCTTCTTGCAGTAGTTGGTGGTATCTGCGATTCTTCGCATAATTCTGTTGTAAGTTCACTTTCCTGGTCATTAGGTTTTCCTTCGAAATTTTTTGTCGTTTCTGAGATGCTCTCCACACCAAGTCGTTTCGAAAGAGCAATATCATCACTTGAGCGAACATCTGCAATCAATCCAGTATTTTCTAGATCTCCATCCTTCAAAAGTTCATTGATATCCACCGAACTTCGAGAATCATTATCAGTAACGAACAATTCCTGTTTGCACAGGTCGTTTACTACATCAGTTTTAGCGGTTGGAGCAGTCTTATAGTGATGTCCCACTGTTTCCTCCAGTGTAGAAGTACATACCACACTTTTATTTCCTTTAAGCACTGGCGTATCGGGAAACTTCTGCGCTTTTGTTAACCTCGCTTTGCGTATATGAATATCTGACATTGAGCTCAAAACGACTGTAGAAGTTACTTCTTCAGCTTGAATGAGAAGGGCGATTTCCTTACCGGTGCTTTTGCTCGATTGTTTGCATTCTTTCGTCTCAATTGTGATAATCTCTTTCTCTTGCGACGACTGCTTCATCAATTTATCGCGTTTACTATATCTGCTTCTGATCACACCTGGAGTTTTTGCAAGAGTTTTCTCTTCGAGAACACACCTGCTGTCCATTTTCTTTTCATCATCATTCATACTTGTTACATATTCACTAAATTCGCTCGTCTCAGTTGCTACTGTCTCGTACTTTTTATTGACGGCAACAACGGTGACGTCATAGGTCGAAATTTCATCACTGCTTTCAGCACATAATCGTTTTGTAGATTCAACAATTTGCATTTCTTCCAGAATATCATCCCTTTGAACATCTGTTCTGCGTGTTTCTTCTTCTCCAACATCTCGTTTACTGTGCGATTCTTTTATGTTTTCCGAGACTCCTTTGTCACCACTGACGTTCTGAAACACCTCGTCCACTTCGAGGGGTTCCGGATCTCCTCGATCGAGCTGTTTCCCGCTAGTAAACGTTTCATTTATCACGGAAAATCTATTGCAAGCTGCGGTAACCTTGCTTCCCTCCTTTTTCGAAGTGATTTGATTTGCCTTCTTCCGTGAATCCTCTTTTTTGCCATCATTTATTAGTGATTCTAAACTTAGTGCTTCGAAGCGCTTCATTGTATTTTGACCAGTGTTTCTACTATTACTTCTATCACAATCTGTTACATTTAGATCAGACGGCTTCTCAAAAACACCTTGCCCAACTTTTTCATCCCAGTCTTTGATGTTAAAGAATGTTATTGGATCCTCCTTTTTCATCTCTTTCATAGTGATTAATTGTTGGTTCGCCTCGTTCACTCCTTCCTTACATACTTTGTTATCCTGTTTAGTAGCAGAATCTTCAACTTTTTGTAGCGATTTTCCTCTCTCAGGAATTTTAACGCATTCCTTCTTTTTCCCTAAGATATCCAACTGGGATATTGCCTTACATTTTACGGAAGGTTTAGGTTTCTCTTCCTCGGTCTCCACATTCGAATTAGTTGGCAGGCTAACTTCGTTGTTCCCAATTTGATATTGCTTCTGTTCCCAAGCAGAAACTTCTTTAAGTCCTCGTTTTGGGATTGGTGGGGTCTTTTTGAATGTAAATAATGATTCTTTTTCAGATGGAGTGCCAGTGTTCAAGCACGGTAAACTAGGACTGTTCACCTTCATACAAATACTAACCGAATGTGGGCGCTTGAGTGGTGAGACGATCTCTACAAAACTTTCTTGAGCTGTTATATTCGCAGATACATTAGTTTCCGAAAGCAAAACACTTGGGTCACCGAAACGAGAATTGATTCGATCTGGTATTGTCAGCGCTTTCGGAATATTTTTTTTCTTTTTGGTGCTGGTCTCAGTAGAAGGTATACAAGAAAATGGACACTTATCAGGTACTGCAATAGTAGGACTCTTTCTCTCTTCGTCCAGAAGAAATGCAATCCTTCTACTTGCAGCTGGCTTTGAAACACTATGTTTTCTTCTACCATCAACCGATAGCGAGACATCTAGCCTTTCCTCATTCTTTATCATCTGTAACGCTCCCTCTGTACTATGTTCTTCACTTTCGTCTTTGTCAACCATCTCTTTCCTAATTGATTGTTCCTCTGCTGACGTTATTGTTTTAGCAACTCTTCCGGTAGACATTCTACCCGTGTGTCCTTCACTTCTTAGTCCTACATTTTCCACCGTTTGTGCCTCTTCCGTTTCCTTCTCCTCGTCGATGTGATCACCGCAAAATTTTTCTTTGCAAATAACTAGCATAGATCCATTTTCATTCTCCTAAATTTTTCTCTTTTAAGCATAATTCATATCTACAGGCAAAGAAACTACACAAATGCAATGTCTAACCTCCTGAGCTCCACAGGAAGACACATTCTCCGTTACCGATAGGAATTGGTGGGCTAGAATTTAAAATATTACTATATCTGACGATTCCCCAACAAGCGCCTTAAAAAGTCTGGGAACAATCTCAATCTTTTTCAGAATCTTACAACTATAGTGAAACAAATATGCGAGGCATTACTTTTGAAAACTACTTCCTGAGAAGGTAGATGTTCTCACAGGATTATTTTCAGCGCTGCTAGTAACGACACTAACGATTTCAAATGCTTTCGACAGAATCATGAGCAAAAGCTTCCACTTCCAATACATCGACAACCAATGGTGACCGGCGAGACACTGGTTGTTTTGTGAATGGTTCGAATGGTTCTAAAGATTTCCACCGCACCCGAAAGAAACGCTTGCCCACTATTCTTTTCTCGAATCATTACAAATCATTTTCGAGAATGTTGGATTACTGTCTTCCTTATTTGTGATTAAATCAAGTGTTCTGTGTTGGTTTGCATTCCGATGACGTTTTTCTTTCCAAAGTTTTCCTAAGCTAAAGCAAAAATCCTTTAGATACCTGTATCAGACCCAAAAGACACACCCGAAAAGCACCATGCCTCCCCTGCAGAGTTAGTGGATTGGAAAAGAAATTCGGCTCCTTTCTCCTTGTCACTACGCTTCGGGATTGACCAATCTTGACTAAGCGATCCACTATCGCCCTGAATATCATGCTACGAAATTAAGTTATCAAAAATTCAGTTGAGCACCATTTCTACAAATACGAATAACTTTTACATCTGTTAGGGAAACTCCTTGGGTAAACATAAAGTCCGCGTGAGGCAGCGTGCTCTCATCCGACTGCGCTTTTACTGAAATCAAGAAACGATAGAATATATGCGGAATAATATCTATAGATGAAAATACTGGCAAATAATAATAATAACACGGAAAAACTTGCAAAAATAGCGAATAATAGCAGGTTAAAGTTGATAACAATGTTAATAACACCCAAATCGTAACAAGAACAAAACTCTTGAGACCATGATTAATGTGGAATATTTACCAATTAATCGCATAGCTATCAACTTCGTACTGTAACCATCAATTCAATCTAAAATGGTCAAAGAAACACCTACTTTTTAGCTTCATTACGGGAGGCCTTGCATTTGTTGAACGGAACTGCTCCACATCATCTCGCGGCATCGCGATCGCCTTCAGTTCGGCCACGTCGCTGAAGGACTGTTCAACTGCGAGATTCGATTCATTCGCAGGGTTGAGAATTTCTTCGATGCTCTTTTCGTCAAATTTCAACTCGTATCCTGACGTTTCACTCATTTTGAAACCGACTGAATCGGTTTCGTTTTGTTGTGAAACGGATGAACTTTTCAAATCATCTGTGGTTATGAGATCATCATGCTGAAAAGAATGCTTCAATTTTCTAGCCCTTCTCTTAAGCAATTTTTCAGTTTCATCTGATAAATATTTTATTATTGGCGACGGTTGTTTGATGTGAGACGATCTTTTTGGAGTATGAGGTAATATTGCCGTTTGAGTAACAAAGCTACCGCTCTCACTACTTTGAGTAGATAATGGTGATACTGTGTCATCATTTTCTTTCTGTGCTTCTGCACATTTATTCTTTCCTTGATCACTGAATTTTTTCATTTTCCACGCATCCTTCCATTTCTTTATGCTAGATCTCATGTATGACGTTGGGCGCGGAATACTCTTTCCAGTGGCATGCACTACAGGAGGTATATAAGAAGTTTCCATTTCCAAATTCCTCTCTTCATCAATCTTCTCGTTAAGCCTCTCACAAGCGCTGTCGTCATATTTGCCCACCAGTCGAGCAATGTCACCGATTTTCGAGCGCTCCCACCTATCGCTGCCGATGTTTTCCGTCGAGTGTGGCAATTCGCTCTTTCGAATTCTAACAAAACTCTCTATTAAAGATCGCTCCATCGGTTTCGCTTCCTCATTCATCTTTTCTTCCAGTTCCAATCGGATGTGTCCAAATTCTTTTTTGCGCAGTAGCCTAACTGCAATACCCATTTCCTCATGCTTGTGCAAATCTACATGTGGTAGCGCTTTTGCGAGGGAAACATCAACGCCTTCATCCGGCTTCACAAGCTTCGTTTTCAACGATCGTTCTTCATAATTCGCCCTTTCATTCACTGTGTCTT